TCACTTAATCATGCAGATTTATGCTACAAGCTCTTTGTAGAATTGTACAGTAAGAAAATAATTTCCCTTAACCAGGAAATTAATGTTCTTAGAATTGACAGACAGTTGACCCTGAGAGGTCAAGTAAATATCTACAGCGGATCTAAATATTCATAATTAATTATATCTAGTTATGATTAATTATTCATATTTCCCCATGAGCTGATTCGCTACAATAGTGAATGTATGAATATCTCCACACAAAACAAATGACCCCCAAATAAAATATTTTATGGTGCTAATCAACATTAATAATTATAAAATAATTATAAAATAATTATTTCTGCCATAATTATTCTAAAGTGTTTACAGAATAACATTGAAGTGGAAAAATATTAGTAATTCTAACCTCATGCTCATAGTTTTTATTATAATACATGAAACTGGTTGAGCAGTCGCATACGGTCTAGCCACAGAAGTTCAAATCATAGATATGTAAAGGTAGATAGCTTATTAGTGGCTGTTTCTGTGGGCTGCTATACACAAGCCATCCGCCATATTGGAATGGTCAAAGCAAGTCCGTGAACACTCGAGAACAAGTAGCCTGTACGGTAACCCTAGTTATACGCATGCACGAATATCTAAATCTGCAATAGACTTCAGCAGATTATTTGCTAAACTAACAATACAACAAGACGAAGCCATTAGCTAACACAACATTTAAAAGGTACTATAGTTTAAAAACGTGTAATATTGAGTTAATACATATTAAAAACACAAACCAACACATTCTTATATTCTTACTATGAAAGTTTATCCCATTTCTTCAGGATTTAAAATTTCGGCATTTTTTATAACAACAGGCTGCACAATGTTGATGTTTAAAAAAAAATGTTATTCATTAATTTTTATTGTGAGTGACGACACATTGATCGTTCCAAGATGATGGATGCGTCAACATGTCTTGAGTGGTTGAATGTCCCTATACATCTACCTATACATATCTATGGTTCAAATATTTTAAGGCATTCAGAACTCAGATCGGATCCAAAATTTCTGCATATGATCGGAAATCCTCGCAGCTCCCACACTACTCTCCATTGGAAATTAATGACTTGTGGTCTGTCACTGGTCGTTTGTCGGAGATAGTGGATAGGCGGCTTCAGAATCAGAATCAGAAAAATCATGTAAATAAATCAAATAAAACATTTAAAATTATGTAATTATTCTAGTGAAATATGGGACATTTTTGATCCGTTATGCTCAGGGCTAATATATATATATATATATATATATATATATATATGCACATCATAAACCCGTGTTTGTAGGCAAGTACAAAATATAGTACAATATATATATATATACAGTGGGTACGGAAAGTATTCAGCATATATATATATATATATGATAAAATAAACAAACAAACAAACATATATGGGTAGGTTATTTCATAAAATATTTTAATATAATTTGTATTTAATGTGATCACAGTTTAATAAAAACATTTAAAGTTACTATAACATTTTAATTCCCATGGTTATTCAAACAGCAAATACATTATATAGTATTATATTATCACATACTCACATCAAACGTACATCTGTACATTGTTGGTTATTATGAGAGAATTCATGAGAGTGCAGAATTCAGTCAGTGAGCACAGCGCACACAATGACTAATCTGAACACCTGTGATTGGCCATTGCATTAAGCTCAACAGAATCATCTGTGATTGGTTATAAAGAAAAAAAAACATAAAAAGAAATATATGCAACATTTAAATTGACACTTTCATTTTTTTCATTTTCACTTTATTTGTGACCCCTAAAATAATAATATTATTCAAAATAATATTATTCAAAACAATATTAAATAAATAAATAAAAACAAGATAGATCTGAAATAGCATGCTGTTGTTTTTATTTTATTATTTATTTAGTATTGCCTTTTATAATGTCCTTTTATAGAAACATTTACACAAGACATAATAATATGCATTTTAAGCAGTAATAATAAGGAGTTTAAAACCTGCATGGATGATTCCGTTTTTATGTTTTGTTTTTCATGATAAGTCCCATGTTTGTCATTAGTAGTTCTGTTCTGCCCAATGTTCTTCAGAAAAAAAAAGAGGTCCTGTACATTCTTTGGTTTTCTTGCATATCTGAACCCTTTACAACAGTGACTCTATGATTTTGAGATACATCTTTTCACACAGGTGACTACTGATGGACTCATACACAACTATTACAAATGGTGAAAACATTCACTGATGCTCCAAGAGGATACACACTGCATTAAAAATCATGGGGTGTAAACATTTGCACAGAATGATCAGGGGTAAATCGTTCTTATTTTTCTTCTGGGAAACATGTAAATTATTTTATGTAGCTTCTGAAGGGTAGTACTAAAAAATATCTTTAAACAAAGTTAGAACAATTTCCACCAATCATCCTGTTCAAAAGATTACACCCCAGCTCTTGGATTCTACCTAGATAAAAGTCTCAATTTAGACAAACATATTCACAGCAAAAGTCAAATCTTTCTTAAGCAGGAAAAGTGTTGAAACTGTTATTTATGCTTTTATCTCAACATGACTCGACTACTGTAATACTTTGTATGCCGGGTTACCGCTCTCTTCCATCTCTCACCTTCAAATGGTCCAAAATGCGGCTAACCGTCTACTCACGGGTAGCCGCAAACGAGACCATATCACACCAATCTTACGTTCTTTGCATTGGCTGCCAATCTGATATTGAATTGACCACACAATTTTGTTATTTGTTTACAAAGCTCTCAACAACTTAGCTCCTAAATACTTTTCCGATTTAATTGTTACTTACAATCTTTCTAGGTCACTTAGATCCCAAAAAGGTCATCTTCTGTTGGTAACACGATCTCGCAGTAGCTGACCCTAAGCTGTGAAACAGCCTGCCATTACCTGACAGAATTGCTTCGATGTTAGCCGAATTCAAATCCATGTTAAAACACATATTTTTCTTGTGCTTTTAATTCTTTGTAATGTGTATGTGCTTTCTTGCTTTTATTTATTTATTTAATTATTCTTTTTTTTCTTTTTGTATAGAACGTTGGCCAACTAAGGTTGAATTTAAACGTGCTTTATACATGAAACTAAATTTAACTAAATTAAATTAATAAGTATGGTATAGTGTACCATACTTATGGTATAAGTATATACCATGTATAAGTATAGTGAGGCATCAAGTCACACAAGTGAGGCAACATTTGCTTTACAGTCACACAAGGCTCCCTTCCCTCTGACTCTGCACTTACTTGTTACGCACACGTTAATTCCATTGACCCAGTGCACATTAACATTCAGTGAGTTCTATAGAGAACAGGGATTTCTCTGCAGAACATGAAACCCCAAAAGGACTCACCACTGTGAGATTCAAAAGCATCTTTGTTGTAAAATTGCCATGAATCATGAAAGTCAGAGCAAGAGGGTAACAATTACACTGAGACCTCAACGGTTTGCATTCTTTTCCCTTTTTGCCTGAAGAGAGAACGAATAAAGGACCAGAATTGCTCACACATGAGGGTTTTTGGACAACCTGTACACAGATGTTTCATTCACAGAGAAAATTAGTCACAGAGTAAGCAAGCAGGGTTAATTGGTGTCCAAATCGATTAAGATTTGTCAGTGTAATTGCATTTATGCACACATTACTTAAGCCGGCAAAATGCCACCAATGAAAAATTACATTTTCAAAACACACCACCTTTGCAATGCAAATAATGTGTGAGTTCTAATGCTGTGTGTGTGTGTGTGTTTTAACTGTTAACACTAGATAATTTGTTTTGCCTATGTTAAACTTTTATATTACATTTAATTATATTTCAGATAGCAGCAGTCACTTCACAGTAAGCTAGTGTGGATGATGCTACACTGTGCCAATTTGTATAAACTATATGAGCTGCTTTACATGTGTGGCAAAATAGAGATGCTGCCAGTCATGAAATGTGTATCCAGAGGTGTAAAGAGTAAATGAAAACCATACTTGAGTAAAAGTACAGATACTTTACAGTTACTCCATTACAAGTTAAGTCATTAATTCCAAAACAACTTGAGTAAAAGTCTTAGAGTGTCTGATTTTAACAGTACTTAAGTATTTTACTTATACTAAATATAGACTCAAAGATGCACTAGTCAGAGACATGCTAGTGAAAAACAAGAAAGAGTTGATTTGAGAGGAGAGCAATCATGTTTCTTTTCTAAAACCAAAATAAAACTGAACACCTCAAAATCGCAATTTTTTTTTATAAAAATATAAAATAAAAATAAAATAAAACAATATCCTTCAAAAAGGTCTCTTCACCATAACGGATTAGTAAAATAATGTTAAGCAAAATTATAAAGTCAAAGTCATCTTGTACTGGATGTG